AAAAATCCTTACTAATCACACTGGACGGAACTGTTTAACCTCTTATGATTGTGATATTACATTCATTTAAAACTTGAATTTATGAAAATAATAGTTATTCAGGGTTTATTTCTTGCAGTGCCACTGTTGTATGTTAGCAGTTGAGGTGTCCAGTGTGGGATCTTGTCAGTTGTGACACTGTAATGTTGTATAACACCCTGAGGATGGAGACATAATGTTCCTTCAAAACATTTGTACCCACATAAATTATTACATGAAGCCACAACCCAGAAGACCACAATCTGAACACTTAACCACTAAAATCATGAAAAAATTTGAGGTTAAGTCTCTCTTTTATATATTGTCACGTATCCTGGTAACGCAACAAGTAATTAATGGGTTAATTAGATGAATCAATTTATTGGATATTCACTGGGCAGGATCAAAATTAGCTGTAACACAATCTTACTATAACTATAATGCTTCGTAACTAAGAACGATGATAACACTCTTAAAGGTTACTGTACTACACCACATAAAATAAAGACTTCACTTCTGACTTCTTCTTCTGACCTCAGTTTGTCTTCTGTTATATTCTGTCTCCTGGATTCTCATATCCAGTAATCTCTCATAATCTTGTAGTAATCCTCTTGAGGTAGCTCTTGGCATACTGAATAGAGGACACTGAATTGAACAGTTAATTTCTCTGTTGTTATGAAAACTTTCTTTCTGTTGTAATGGAACCTGTTTCTGTATGCATTGCGTAGGAATTGATGTCTTCAATAGTTCCTCTGTTATCGAGATTATTGAGACCTTCGCTACTAAGTAACTGAAGTTCTATTGTTGAATGTGTTACACAGGTTTTTCTGTTTTCATATCTTAATGCTTTGAGTGCCCTGTCACAATATATATCAGTTTATTTTAAGGACCTTCAGAAAAATGTCAACCCTTTTGACTAATAAGTAATAGTATAAATCATTTATACTGTCCTTTTTTGTGTGTGTGTATTCTTTTGTCCCTTAGGAGCTGAGGTAGCGTAGTCGGTATAGTGACTGGCTACTGGCTGGATGACTGAGGGGTCAGAGTTCAAGTCCTGGTAGGGTCAAGAATTTTCTCTTTTCCAAATTGTCCAGAGTAGCTCTGGGGTCCACCGAACCTCCTATCCAATGGATAGTGGGTGCTCTTTCCCTGGGCATAAAGTGGTAGGGGTGTGAAGCTGACCACTCACCTCCAGCTAGTGCCGAGGTCAAGAAAATGTGGCTCTATACATCCACTCCCCCATACGCCTTCATGGCGTAGTGCTTAATTCATTGAGCATGGGGCCAGCTTTTAACTTGTTCCTCACAGTTCATCTTCCAAATTAATGCCTATATATTTTATATTTGATCATCCCTTACATGTAATTACAGTAACTGGTTATTGGCCACGCCATAGCTCAGGAGGTTAGTCGCTGGCTTCCCACCATGGCAGCCCCAGTTCGAATCCATGTCTGGTCATGTGAGATTTTTGTTGGACAACATGGTGGTGGGACAGGTTTTCTTTGAGTACTTAGATTTCCCTTGCCAATTTTCATTCCACCAATTCCTTCACAGTCACCATCATCTGTAATCTGGGGCTGGTATGGGCCAGTTAGTGGCCACAGGGTCGCAGTGCAAGGGCTGGTTTTTATGGCTCACCCCTCTTACTCATAGTGGCCACAGTGCCAAGTGGACTCAGTCTCACCCCACTAATAATAATAATAATAATAATAAAGTTCAGTTATTCCTCTAGCTTAGTGGGTAGCATATATTTAAAGGATATATTCAGTTCCAGTTACTGTCACTGATATTTAAAACAGAAATTTGTGATTATGAAGATAAGTGAAGCCAGAGTGAAGTCAGCTTCTGAAGTGCTGTATATATTAACCTTTAAAGTGTAGCCGAGTGGCCGTGCGACACCATATGGGTACGTGCAGTCCACGCATGCGCACAGTGTTTTAAAATCTAATTTTAAGATAGAAATTCTTGTTCTACTTACATTACTTTTGGGCACCCGCTTTATAAGTAGACAGTCTTCCCTCCTGTGTCATTTAACTGAATGTTGCATCTAACTAAATGCAGAGTCCAACATCGCAATTCATGCACTTCGTCCGGATGTAACTCCGTTTCCCATGCAAAGAGCACACACGACACCTCAGTCTTGTATTAGAGGAAGTCGGCCAGTGATGTTGAGTGGCCTCCTCTAATCGTAACGCTTATAAAACATCACAATTTCAACTATCCACCATGGCCTCATTTCGCATGGAAGAAGCCGAAATTGAGAAGCAGCTGATAATACGCTTCCCATGCTTGAGTGTGCGTGGGGCGAACGTGGGTTGAAGGAATGTCTTTCCAGCTTCTATAAATGACACTGATTCAGACTGCGATACAGACGACTCTGAAAGTGGTGAGGAAGCAAGGGGGTAGTGCGGGGCTATTCTGAGAACAGTACCTCTGTGTGGCTAGTCTGAGGTATGCACAGTCAGAGTTTCTGAAGGACAAAGTACGATAAGACTTCGACCACACTCGTGCATACAGAAAGGTTCCAACATGACTGGAGAATGTGCAATACAAACATAAACTTCCACCCCTTTTGCCAGATAAGACATAGTAAGACAGGATGTCAGCAACATGCATTTTTACTACAGAAACTATATGCATATTTGTGGACAGACGCTCAAAATTGGGATTTTTTTTTTTTTTGAATCAGTGTAACAGTTTTTACAGGTTTTAAAATCTGTAAATTACAATATCTGATTCTATATTCTTTCTAGATAAAAGCAGCGTTTATTTCGTTCATGTATTACAAAAATTGTAGAAATCACAGCATTTTCAGTAAAATGCTTACAATTTGTAATACTGTACAATGGTGGGCATTTAAATTATCTCTGGCCTGCTGCCATTACCGGAATTTAAATGGCCCGTCTCTTAAAGGTTAAATGTATTTCAGATGGACATTGTTTATTGTAATTGAGGTATTAATCAGTTATTGTTAAAGAACTTCGCCTTTTCAAACCATGCTGGAGGCAAATCCCCACCCTTATGAATAGTTAGGAACCTAGAGAGAGTTTGTAAAGCAGAATTTTTTAATGTGATTAACTGTTTTCTAGAGAGAGATGGTATTATTGGGGGTGACATTCCCAAAGAAGGAAAAGAATTGGAATCACTTTCATTGCCTGAAATTAAACATACAAGCATCAGAAACAGTTACAGCAGATAGTACAAATAAAAACTATTCTAGAAACATCAAGGTCTTAAAGCCTTAAGCATAAGGTGAACGGCTGGGTGATCATTTTTTACTTCCATTCTTGTTGACATGTCTTTTTTTTTATGGATTTTGGATGTGCAGTTTCACATTTGGATGACTAGCCAAGTTAAGGGGTATGTACTTCGTTATATAAGTTCATGTAAGCAAAATTTCATTATAAAAATCTTCATAAAGCAAGAACTGTCTGTAACTGTCTTATTGAAATATATAGCCAGTTCCAACTGGGAAAGAATCTCAAAAAGTCTCAAGTGTATTAGAGGGTCTTCCTAGAGCAGATGATAGTTATGCAGGTGGATATATAAAGTGCATTACAGATACTAAATGTTTTGTCATCATCATGTAAGGCCACCTTTATGCCCTGTCCTGTTCTCTAGGTCAGTCCATCTCATAAAACATGCAGTGTTTCTGATTAATTTTGCTGTTATCCTCCCTTCTGCATGACTATTTCCTGTGTGATCTTATTTCTTGCCATGATTTTACATACTCTGTCATCATCATCATCATGTATTTAATAACTGTAACAGAACTAGCTGAGTAATTCTGGTCATGAAGCCTGTATAATTTTCTAAATTCTTTTATTGCTTTGTCTCAGCTATATTCAATGTCAATTCATCCTTCAGAATAAAAAATAAAATTTAAACCATGAGAAACATTGGAGTGGTAACTGCTGCCACCTGTCAGAGTGGCTGGATATTCACAACAATTCAATGTGTAGAAGTTTGAAGACCACAGTTGTTCAGTATATCAACATTTTATTTTTAAACTTGTGCCTTCTCTATATAATCAGATTCAGAAATAATTTTTAACACTTTTACCAGCTTTTATATTAACAATTCCTGATTACATAAGTCTTGTGTTGTACATATGAATAGCATGCTTAGTGAATATTATCATATTTACTCAGATAACCTCTGATGCCAAGTATGGTCACTCTTCAGTACCTTGTTTTCAAAAAGATAAAAATTGCTTGCCCCTGCCAGGAATCAAACTCCAATATTTAGGTCATCCTGCTATATCAGCTGAGCTGTTCCAGTTTCATGAATTCTCAAGTACTGGGCATATAAAGCATTTTAGTACTAAGACTGAAATAATACATGATAATTCTTTAAATATCTGTGAAAATACCTAGGAGGCTATCCATTCATTTATGAATCACTGATGGGTGGTGTCCTTCACTCCTGGTTTCCAGTACATAACATATTACAAAAGTGAGATCACCATTGACAGTTGATTATTTGGTTAGTTTGTTTTTATCAGCTTCTAAGGTTTTGTAGTTTTCAATAGTCTTGTAATCTGGTTGTAAATAATAACTCTGGAAGCCATTGTAGTCTGTTTTAAAGAACAGCAAATACACAGACCTCAACCTTAGCTACAATATTCAACTGAAGTATTGTCATGTTTGAAAATATGGTGCAAGGTTTATTAGAGTAAATATGGTACTTTTTACATATTTAGTGGAGTGCTTGCAAGTGAAACTGAATGTGTGGTGTTTGCAAACTTAAGGCTTGTCCTTTCATTCTTGGGCGATGTCATCGTCCTGTGGTGAACAAATTTCCTAATGTTTTTCAGAAATTGGCAGTCCCCATTTTCAGGCTAATGTTTTGGCAAAGTATCCCACTACATACCACAGTCATCTTCCAAGAATGTAAATACTTTTTAGCACTCTTCTTTGTAAGCCCTAAATAAGCTAGATTTTTGCAGTCTGTAAATTAATGTGATTTTTTCTTCTTTTCCAGTGAATTGAAGCTGGCTATTCAGTGTAGATTACAAAAAAGCTTACAAGGACATGTGTAGATGGAACGAATTGTTAGAACAGCTGTTGAGTATTCCACTTCGTCTTTGAAAGAAACTAAATCTTATAACTCTTAATAATGGATCTCAGAAACAGTTGAAGACATTATTCTTTTTTAAATTATTGTTGGGTGTACCTACTCTAGCACAGTTGACTGTATCTCCTGACACCATGTTTAGTGAATTTTATAAGTGAAACAAGTTATCCATCACTAAGCTGTCAGGGGTCACATATTTTGAGGTTGTATTAGTTACATTTTGATAGGATTTTTAATTTATACATTATTAAAAGTGTGTGACTGAACCAGCTGGTAATTTTTTTGTTAAAATTCCTTGTTTTCAGTTTTTTATTGTATCACTTGTTCATTGTTTAAAGACTATGGTCTTCTGGATTGTAACACCATGTTGTTTGGAGAAACCTCGGCATTTTGGAGGTACATATTACCCGTCTTCAGGTTTCTCCAGACTATTTATGTACTACACAGCCCATCAACAATGCAACAAATTGTTGTTTTTTCTTTCATTTTCACTTTTGACAGACATGTTTTGGCCCTAGATAGCCATCTTCAGGTGGCTTACTATGCCAAAACTGCTACACTGCACTAATATTATCAATTCATCACCTATGCAACTGCATGCTTCATGATTCAAAATGTCATAATCGTAGTATATCTGGTATGCGCTAAACTAGCACATGCTGTAGTTCACTTAATTTAAATAAAATCTATTAAAATTTTCTTTCAGTGTTGTAAAATTCTTATTATACTTCACAAGGGGCGTTATCCACTTGTTTAAATCTGTATCATTTTCTTCAGATGTTTTATTGCATCGAACTGTTTTTCTGTTCGTAAGTCCGTAGTTGTGTTACATCTGCAATCTGTAATTTTGCCCCTTGCTTGTATGTTGTTCCCTCCAGCAGCGCATGGTGGTGTTGAAGAAAAGGATACAGATAAAACAAGTGGACAACACCCCTTGTTAGGTGTAATAAGAATTTTACAAAATTTAAAGAAAATTGTAATAGATTTTATTTTATTTAAATTAAGTGAACTGCTGGGGTAGCGCAGTCAATATAGTGACTGCCTACGAGATGGACAACCAAAGTGTCAAAGTTTGAGTCCTGGTAGGGTCAAGAATTTTCTTTTCTCCACATCGTCCAGACCAGCTCTGGGGGTTGCCCAGCTTCCTATCCAATGGATACCAGGGGCTCTTTCCCTAGGGGTAAAGCAGTAGGGGCACGAAGCTGACCACTCGCCTCCAACTAGTGTTGAGGTCAAGAAAATGTGGATCTATACATCCACTCCCCCATATGGTGTAGTGCTTAATTAGTTAAGCACAGGGACAACTTTACCTTTCTTACCTTTTACGGTGTGTGCTGTTTTAGCACATACCACTTAGACTACGATTATGACGTTTTGAATCATGAAGCGTGCAGTTGCATAGGTGATGAATCGATAATATTAGTGCAGTGTACCAGTTTCAGCATAATAAGACACCTGAAGATGTCCACTTAGGGCCGAAACATGTTGTGTCGAAAGTGAAAGTGGAAGAGCGAAGGAATGATTTGTTGAATTGTTGACAGACTGTGTAGTACGTAAACAATTTTAGATATAGTAATGCAAGAGGGTGCTTAAATACAGGATCGCAAATAGTTTTCCAGACTACATGATATTGCAACCCAGAATACAATGCTGCTGTGAGAACCTCATATCCAAAAAGTTAAAATTGATTGTGTAGCCTTTAAATATGGGTCCCTTGAAGTGATTATAAACATGTTTGAAAGAGAACAACACATCTGATCAAATGGAAGATGGTGCCAATGTAGTAGGGCTTATTTCTGTAACAGACTTCTCATCTCCCATTTTCTGGTTCATTATAGTGAGGAAAGTGGAAAGTAAAAAAAAAAATGTAGATGAGGTGCTGTTTCTTTAATCAGATTTTTTTTCTGTAGAATGTCATGCCTTAAAATTGTAGGTCTGCCATTCTTGCAGCCATGACTGTTAGAAATCTGGGATTTGAAAAAGAAACTGCCAGCCATATTTTATTGTGATTTGAACACAAGAGGGAACAGCATAAATGGATGGTCATGGTGTATTTCACAGTCCATTTAACTTCTTTCTGCGCCAAGGTATTTTTGAGCACTTTGTAGTATTGTGGATTAGTATTAAAAGGTTGGTACCTAATTGATGATATTCCAGTCTTGTAAGATCTTTGCATAATTTTGTTTAGAATGAGCTAAATGAAATGGAGGCTGGTCATTACTCCTAGTTAACAGAGGCTATACTACTTTGTTATGACATTCCTGATTATGGTAACCAGTTTTCTTTCAGCATCTTGCATCAGCTATCAAACCTGTAATCTTATCTTTTGGCCCTGTTTTAGTCATTGCAGAGGTTTTTTTCTTTACTATTGAATTTTGTGATTACACAGAAGCACAAGCGCCTTTTTTTATTTATGATACAGTGAAATAAAGGTTTAAGATATTGATTTTCATGTCCTTTTTCGTGTTTTAATGTAATGAATATACAAATGTATATACAGAACCTTTAATATAACCCAGATGGTTTATACATATTAGTCTAGTAGTTGGTATCATTGATTGAAACCGGCGGGTGCAGCAACGCATTTCGATCTGTTCGGACCTTGCCTCTGGAGGTGCCCATGTTTTCTTCATATGCTCAAATGATTGTATTAGCTGGTTTTGTGGACCATCAGATGCAACAGTCATTGGTTCCATACTAACAGGGCAAGTTTTTCATTCACAGAACCATATTAGTTGTTAATTTTTTAGTCCACCTATTTTGAAAGAAAGAAGGCTTATAAGATCACCTCCAACAGTTCCTCTGTTAGCCTACTTTCTTGTGCGTACATATATCCCCCGTTGTTGCTTGGCAGTGGCTCAGTTCCTGCCACAATGAATACATTCTTGTGCGTATGTATATCCCCCGTTGTTGCTTGGCAGTGGCTCAGTTCCTGCCACAATGAATACATTCTTGTGCGTATGTATATCCCCCGTTGTTGCTTGGCAGTGGCTCAGTTCCTGCCACAATGAATACACATGCAATAATTCAATTGTATGCATCATTTTTATGCTCTCTATGTCATAGCAATGAAAGTAGGTAAGTAGTTCTTCCCAGAACTTCCTGTTCTAATCTATGCAGTTTCAGAACCAAAAGGACACTCAGGGTACATGGAAGGTGAACCTATGCCTGTAACAGACCATGGAGGCCCATAGGGTAGTGAGACGTCACGGCTTTCACATTTTCTAGAGTGTGTGCTCATGGATGGCGGTAGGGTTGTCAGCCTTCCATGCCAGCTGCCCTTTACCCCCAGGAAGATTCCTGGTTCTCATTTCTGTTAGAGGCTGAGTCGACCCTAGGGCCATAGTACAGCAGGGGGGATCAGGTATATTGAAAAAATTCAATGACCTCATCAGGAATGAAACCTGTAACCTTCCAGCTTGTAGCATAGTGCCTCAACCAACTATGCTATTGTGTGCATCCTCTATAGAGAGGAACATGTTTCCTCTATCTTCAGGGTTGAAGAATAAGCCAAGCAGCATGAAGCAGGTGCCAGGTTCAGTCACTGGAGTACATAATGTTACATCATAGCCAGTGGCTGTAAGAACCTTTAATTCAATTTCAGTGTGACTTAATTCTGAGCCAGCAAAATTTGGTACTAATAACATTTGATTGGTTCTCATACATAAATGATCACATACTACACACACTGCTTTTGCCCTCACATGATTTCAATGGGCTTTCTTGCCTTTTCACTTCCAGCAAAAAAGTGTGATGCATCCAAATTTTATCATTCCAATGGAGTAGCTTTACTTTTGTTTACTTTAATGGAGTATCAACACTGCATACTTTTTTAATGAACATGTGATAGGTATGTGTACTTTCATACTCGTTTATAACCCACTATTGTGAAGGGCAATATGGTCAAGTTATGGGATAATGCAATTTCCAGCTATATACTCAAATTTATTGTGACCAGTGTTTTATATCCAGATGGCATTTGTTAGGTGTACATAAACAGGTTCATCTCAACCCAAATGATAGGTGTCTCTCACTAGACTAATTGCTTTTGAGTTCAGGAGAGGGTTTACTACTAGATACTGACTGACATTTGTATGCTACTGTTCTATTTATCATTATTTTTCTGGTGGTTCAGAAATTAATAGGAAGCTACAAGTGTGTGCACATATGATCACTGTAATTTTTCTTTTCTGCAGAATGAGTACAAGTTAGTGTGTATGTCCTTGTGGTTCATATGTGTATCTTCTCTTAGGAACAAGAGTTGAAAAGGCCAAGGCAACCACAAACATTTCTTTAAATTCTGGAATTTCATTGCCCATAGATCACTATAAACAACTCTGTAGTAGTACAGCATTGATTCTCAGCTGCTGTTTAAAAAGGTAGCCACAAGTTGTGGTTCTTCTGCAAACTAATATCAAAGGCCATATTAGGCATGGATTGGGACTTATCTATGTTTCAAGCCAGACTAGCATTGCCTGGTGTAAAAAAGTTTTATTACGGTTAGTTAGAAAGTTAAAGTTAAAATTGCAAAGAACTTGGTCTTAGGATAAGTCGTCATACTTGGTGTAATCATCTGTATGCTGAATATGTTATTTCAATAATTTAAATCCTCTTTACATTTCACAATCAAGTAAAGTAATTGGGGTTGGGTCCATGCTTAACGTTAACGCAGAGGTGCAAATCAATGCTCTTTGTAGTACTCAAGACACCAGACTATAAATTAATAAAATAATATTTCAGAATATCCATTCTCTTTACCGTGCTCAAAAATCACCTTGCCAGCAAATTATGTGCGACTTCCCGGACAACTGGTAATTATTTAGCCGCAGTAGGAATTTCTTCTTTTCATGCAGAACTTCTCTTTTCTCCCTTCCGACTTACTGGCAGCCCTGCTGCAATGCTCTACTTCCTGTGATGGAATTGTGGGTAAAGTAAACAGCTCGTGTTGGTTGGCTACATGGAATTCCTGATCCCGCCCAGATTTTCAGTGATTGGCGGTCACCGAATGGTGAGACTAGTGTCAAACCGAACATGAGGTTGTGATGAAAGTGTTGCCTGGTTCCGTCCGAGTGTGCGATTGTTATAGGGTTTCGGGTGTTGAATTATTTGCAGACAATACTTCCATGTCTCCAGAAACTAAAAGAAGTATCCCGCCACCTACAGAGACTATTCAGACGAAGCCATTCCCAGTCAGAGGTGAGATCCATGCTTGAAAGCCTTACGACCGAAGTTATTCTGTGCTTCGTACCGTAGACCAGGTGTACTT